TGGCACAATGCATCACCCAGACATACTGAAATACAACAGATACTGACAAATACACACTATAGAATTAAGAAACATAAGTGCATCATGTTACCATTTAAAGAACAAAAACAAAATCATACACAATGAAAAAAAAAGTAGTACTATGCAATGCACTGTTAACCTTTTAGATCAGGTCTTTTTTTTTTATTGAAGTTTGGATCCATGTATATACAAAGTTATACAATTCCAGCCTCCATCAGGGGATAGCTGTATTAATAACAATTTTCAACAATAAAGTACCAATGGAGTATATATCAAAGTACACAGAAGACATAAGTACAGATCCCAAACCTCAATATTTTCCATGTTTTTTAGAAAAACAAAAAATTACGTAAGAGTACAAAAGACCACAAAAAAACAAGAATACAAAAGCAAAACAGTCAAAACAAACCATTCTTCCACCAAACTGAACCTGGAGAACCAAGCTGCCTCAACCTATCCATGATTAAAATAGATAAAAGTTCAATGTCCGCAAGAAATAAACATTTGGTACACATATGGCTCTAATATCTGTTAACCTTTTAGAGACAGTAATCAAAACACATTGACTGCCTGTGAACACATCTTGTAAAATATGGTCGTCACCTGGCAGCTGTGCAGGAAAGGGGCCTGGTGAGGTCCCTGGTGAGTGAGCAGAATCAAGAGAGATTCACGCAGCATGCAGGGAGACGGTGCAAAGAGTAAAAAAAAGATCAACTCTACTGAGTCAAAGGAGGGTACGTTCAAAGAATGGGCTACACATCTGACCTCAGTTCAGGGGTGGACTGACAACTCATGGGGCCCCCGGGCAATAGGGGATCATAAGGCCCCTGTGTCCTTGCCCAAACTCAAAAAAGCCTATAAAAAAGGTACCAGGGGGCATCTCATGGGGCCCCCTACTGACCCCGGGCCCTCGGGCAGTGCCCGAGTTTCCAAATGGTCAGTCCGCCCCTGCCTCGGTTTATTATTTATTTATTTATTACAGGTACTTGTATAGTGCAGTCACTTTACGCAGTGCTTCACATATATATTGTACATTCACATCAGTTCCTAACCCTCAAGGGGTGTACAATCTAAGGTCCCTAACTTACATTCATACATACACATACTGGGGCCAATTTAGGCTTGGTTCACATCTGTGCAGGTGGCGCTGCTGCAGATCCGTATAAAAAATCTGTGCGGGTACACCATCCGTACAGAAGAATGCGGAACCGTGGGCAGGTACCATTAGTTCTAATGGTACGCCACCCGCACTGGAAAACGCAACCGTACTGGGAACCGAGGTTCCCGTGCGGGCTGCGTTTTCGGAAGAAGTGCAGGGACTTTTTCCCTGCGTGTCACGGGTACGGGAGTCCATTCAAATGAATGGACTCTCGTGCACGTGCAAAACACGGCCCGCATGGCCACATATATGTGAACCGGGGCTTAGACAGGAGCCAATTAACCTACCAGCATGTCTTTGGAGTGTGGGAGGAAACTGGAGTACCCAGAGGAAACCCACTCAGGCACAGGGAGAACATACAAACTTAAGGCAGGTGGTGCCGTGGTTGGGATTTCTGCCCACGTTTTAGTTACTCCAAATTCACAGCCACAGGGGCCACATTACCCCCACACATGCAGTACATTAGATTGCTGGTGGGAACTGTACTTAGCTTCTCTAGTGTTTAAAATGGGTGGTGCTTAATCCTTAGAAAAATACTTGCAGGCGCAAGGTGCTTGCAATTTAATCTTAAATGTATGATTATCTCCTTTTGTGACCCAATCATCACTTTAAGAAGAACCAGTCCCTGGGCAGGAATCCTAATAATAAAGGACACCTTTGTCCAGACTATGGACATGAAATCATTTAAACAGAGCTTTCAAACAAGCTGTCACTGACTTCTCTAGCTGCTTTTACTGTGAAGAAATTGATTCTCAATTTAAATTAATTCTTAAGGATCACAACAAAGATTATAAAGTTGGATTTTAATCAGTTTATAACAGCTTAACAACTTGGAAAAACCTGCTGTGTTAGAAGGTCAGCAGGCTTCCAAGATTCTTCACCCTACAGAAATGAAAGGACAAACGAGTGCCTCTGTAATGAATTTTTAAGATGAATTTCTCAGCAATGCATATAACTACAGAGGTGAATAAGGGCTTGTTTAAATGTGTAAATATTTTAATATGTATATCCTGGGTACTAATTCACTTTGCAGGTTATTTTCTAAAACTGGAGAGTGCTAAATTTGGTGCACCTCTGCATAGAAACCAGTCAGATTCAAGGTTTTATCACCAAAGTTTAATTGAACAAGCTGAAATTAGAAGTTAATTGTTTACCATGCACAGCTACACCAGATTCTGAGTGCACCCTTTTTAGTAAATCTACCCCTTTGAGTCTTAAAGCTGACCTTCAGGAAAACAGCTAAATATACAGTTTAAATGCAATTTAAATGTACAGTATGTAAGCTGTCTTGGCTTCTAAAGGATTTGTATTTTATTCCATCCAGTCCTGAAAGTTACACAGCCCTACCAAACAGTGAAGCCTGCCTGGTGGCCTAACTTTTATTTGCTGGAATTAAGCAACACAGCTATGTCAGCTCTCTGCCCCAGTCTGATGAAGTCATCTGTGTGCTTTTGTCTTCTGTCAGCATATTCTTTATCAGCACATGTGAATTGAGAAGACTTGCCACAAGTTCTGCCCCTCCCTTTCCCAGGCTGTCTTCTGCTGTACAAGGAATTAATAACTTATTATTTATTGTAGCTTTTTTTGTCTGTCTGGAGTTCAACTTTAAATGGTTATAACTAGAGATGAGCGAATTTTTCAAAAATTCGATTCGGCTGATTCGGCGAATTCCAGGAAGAAATTCGATTCGATGCGAATTAATTCGCTACGAAGTTAACTTATAAAAAGGGTTTCTAGGCTTCAGAGAGCCTTTAAATTAGTGCAGAACACTGTACCTTTAATTTAAATGCCCTTGGAGATGAGGAAGGAGAAGGAGAAGATGAGAAGAAGGAGAAGGAGAAGGATGAGAAGAAGGAGAAGGATGAGAAGAAGGAGAAGGAGAAGGATGAGAAGAAGGAGAAGGATGAAAAGAAGGAGAAGGAGAAGGAGAAGGAGAAGGAGGAGAAGGAGAAGGATGAGAAGAAGGAGAAGGATGAGAAGAAGGAGAAGGATGAGAAGAAGGAGAAGGATGAGAAGAAGGACAGTTCTGTGACAGTTTCTGTCTATTTCTGACAGTTCTGGGACATTCACTCCATACAGCGGTTGAAACATTGTATCTATTTGTTTCCATAAATGGATCCATTTATGGAAACAAATAGATACAATGTTTCAACCGCTGTATGAAGGGAATGTCCCAGAACTGTCAGAAATAGTCTATTTCTGACAGTTCTGGGACATTCACTCCATACAGCGGTTGAAACATTGTATCTATTTGTTTCCATAAATGACATTCTGCAGATACACTTAGAGGAGCTCTGCAGATACACTTTTTGCCGGCTTGGAAATTATTCTTATTTTCATCCTACTTCTTCTTCTTCTTCTTCTTCATCCTCATCCTCTTCTTCTTCTTCTGAGGATAAGGATGAAGAAGAAGAAGAAGAAGAAGAAGTAGATGAAAATAAGATTAATTCCAAGCCGGCAAAGTGTGTATCTGCAGAGCTCCTCTAAGTGTATCTGCAGAGCTCCTCTAAGTGTATCTGCAGAATAGAGGAACTCTGCACATACACTTTTTGCCGGCTTGGAATTATTCTTATTTTCATCCTACTTCTTCTTCTTCTTCTTCTTCATCCTCATCCTCATCCTCTTCTTCTTCTTCTGAGGATGAGGATGAGGATGAAGAAGAAGAAGAAGAAGAAGTAGGATGAAAATAAGAATTCCAAACCGGCAAAAAGTGTATGTGCAGAGTTCCTCTATTTCTGACAGTTCTCTGACAGCTTCTTCACATGTACAGCGGTTGAAACATCTGTATCCTAAATGGAAACTAATAGATACAATGTTTCAACCGCTGTACATGTGTTCCTTCTGTCAGAGAACTGTCAGAAATAGCGGAGCTCTCTGCAGGGACACTTTTGCCGGCTGATCGGGAAAAATCCGATTCGCGCGCACCCGAAGTAGGCAAATATTCGGATTCGCCGCGAATCAAATTTTTCCTGAAATTCGTATCGAATTCCGGTTCGCCTGGTTCGATTCGCTCATCTCTAGTTATAACTGAGCAGTTTTGTAAATGAAGCATTTAGTCCTCATGCACACTTGATGTTTTTATAGCTGCTGTTTTTGGCTTTGACGTTTTCTACCGCTAGTAACCCCCCCAGCATGTTACCCTATGTGTCCATGCACACATAGACTGTAATCAACGTTTTTTGGCTGGGGCATATTTTGGTTAAAAAAAACCCCCAGGACTAGTGGGTTTCTAGAGTTTTTTTAGCTGTAGTGACACCAGTGACACCATGTCAGTTCCCCCAGTGTCAGAATGCCCGCCGCAGTCCCACTAAAATTCGCTGATCGCTGCCATTACTAGTAAACAAAAAAAACAAAACTCCAGTATCTATACCGCCATTTGTAAATGCTATAACTTTCATGTACACCAATTAATTTACATGTATTGGGATTTTTTTTAAGCAAAGACATGTAGCAGAATATATTTTCACCTAAAATTTATAACGAAATTTGATTTTAAAATTTTTTTACTTGACATGTATAACTGCCTCCCGTCCGCCATATAGGGAAATGACGGGCGCAAGGCGGTTCTCTCGTTCTGGGAGGACAGCATCCCACTCTAAGCACGCATGCTCACCCCCGGGCAGCACGGCGATCGGTGGTGCGCTGGGTCCCTGGGACACAGTGGATCACCGATGAACAGAAAGAGCCGAAGGCGTTGGCTCTGTCATGTGATCAGCTATGTCCAATCACAGCTGATCGAATGTAAATTAGAAAATGTCGGTTATCGACTAACAGCTCTTGAGGAGAGGAGAGCTGGTAATCGGCATTACTCAGAGGGGACATGTACACTGATCATCAGGGCACTGATGATCAGTGTAGCCCCCCCAGCAGTGCCATCAATGCCACCTGTTATTGCCTATCAATGCCACCTGGCAGTGCCCATCAGTGCCACATCAATGCCACATATCAGTGCCCATATGAGCTGCCTTTCAGTGCCTCCTATCAATGCCAGTCAGTGCCACCTATCAGTGCTGCTAATCAGTGCCTGTCAGTGCTGCCTATTAGTGCTGCCTAACAGTGCCAGTCAGTACCACCTAACAGGGCCAGTCAGTGCCGCCTATCAGTGCCAGTCAGTGCCTCCTATCAGTGCCACCTATCAGTACCATATATGAGTGCTTCCTTTCAGTGCCCATAAGTGATGCCTGTCAATGCCCATCAGTGCCACCTACCAGTGCCGCCTATCAGTGCCCATCACTGCAGCCTCATTAGGGCACATCAGTGAAGGAAAAAAATCACTTATTTACAAAATCTTATAACAGAAACTAAGAAAAAAAAATTTTTTTTTCTAAATGTTCTGTTGTTTTTGGCTTGTTTAGCAAAAAATAAAAAACCCTGAGGTGATTAAATACCACCAAAATAAAGCTCTATCTGTCTCAAAAGAATAATAAAAATTTCATATGGGTACAGTGTTTCATGATCGTCCAATTGTCATTCAAAGTGCAACAGCACTGAAAGCTGAAAATTGGACTGGGCAGGAAGGGGGTAAGAGTGCCCTGTAGGCAAGTGGTTAATAGCAAAAAGTCAAAAATATTGTTTTTTTCTCAAAATTTTTCGCCTTTTTTTGTTTATAGTGCAAAAAATAAAAACCGCACAGGTGATCAAATACCATCAAAAGAAATCTCTGTGGCAAAAAAAGGCCATAAATTTAATTTTGGGGCAGCGTTACATGACAGTGGTTAAACCACCCATTTATTTGGCTTGTTGATTGCTGAAGGGTGATAAGACCCTGGCCTGTTTCGTGATATTTCCACTGTTTAACACGTCATGTACAGTACATTCATATTACTAAACCACATACCATCAATAAGTCTGTGCATTCTTCATAGTGATTTGTGTTCCTTTACAAATATCACTCACAACATTCACTAAATGTGTAGGGCATGTTCACTTTTCAATGTGAATTTTCATAATCACAGAAAATTCCTTCTAGCCTAGTGAAGGTCGGCAATCTGAACTGACGTCAATCATCCAATCATGTGCGAGCAAAATCTTGTTTTTAAATCTTACATGTTATTGGATATTCATCAAAGTGGATTTCCCTTTGCAAAGCGAACATTATTATTATTATTATACAGTATTTATAAAGCGCCAATAGTTCGCTCAGCGCTGTACATTACAAAGGGGGACAGAACATGTGACAGAACAATACCAATACAATGCAAAACATGAGGGGATTGAGGGCCCTGCTCTTTCATGCTCAATTTCTTTAGTAAATCAGGGTCACTGTATTTTTCATTGTTGTATTACCAGTTCAGCTGTTTTAAGAAACATTTATCTGGCTGAGTCTAAAGCTTTTCCGTGACCAAATATTGCAAAAGGTCACCCCACACACAGCTAGTGGGCAGCAGAAAAGCTGTCACGACCTACATCATTGCAGACCACTCCTGTGTAGCTGCCTGAATACTGGGAAACATACTTTGTTCCTCATGCTACTTTTGTTTTTATATCTATTTTATTTGAAGATTACAACCACTCAAAAATAACAAAACAGTTTGTGGACAGATGCCTGTGTGTTTAAGTACCCTAAGGATTTGCCTGCAATGTTCAGCCTAAAGTCAAATGCAAAAAAAATGTAATAGCCGTAGTCTGTGTGTAAAGGTGAAATTTGTGTTACTAACAGTTCCATGGGTTCTTAAAGTGTTACTAAACCCACAACAGTAAAATCAGTCTGTATATGCAGTAAAGCATGCTTGCTATACTCACTGTGGAAACTAAGGGGTTAATCGTCTGCATTGTGTAAAAAGGATGTTTGAGCCTTTGTTCTCTCTCTGCCCCTCTTCTTTTCTTATAATGTTTTTTGCCACATTTCAAATACGTGTGAACAAGGTGTCAATTATTTAAAGTGTTTGTTCACCAATGCCAGAAGTCTGCCAAGCAAAATAGGTGAGTTGGAAGCTTTGGTGCATGAAGAGATCTATGATTTAACCTCCCTGGCGATATTCCCGAGTGTAGCTCGGGGTAAAGTTTCAGTACCAAAAGCGGTAACCCAGAGCTACACTCGGGCTTACCATGCGGCGCTGCTCCAGGATCTGTTCTTCACTTACCTTGTCCTGCGCTCCTGCGATGTCCCTCCTGCAGTGTCTCCTGTAATGTCCTCCGGCGGATGCTGGCATCTGTCTTCTGGGTTCCATCCCCTGCGAGCGTCGGGACGTACGGGAACGGAACGGCGGGAAATTTGAAAATGACAAAAAGTTACATTTAACTAAATACACTAAAATCACATAGTAAAACATTACTGTATCAAACCATTTCACATACATTTTGTCCCTAGTGCTTTGTCCTGTGCCCTACCTGCATTTTTACTGTTCTTTCTGCCTGGAAACTGAGAAACGTCCATGGCGTCCAAAAAGCATCCCTTTAGGTCAAAAGCGGTTTTAGACCAGCTAGAGAACAGCGATAGTAAATTAGAACCACTTACAGAATTGAGTGATAATGATTTGTGGGGAATTCAGCATCAGATACTGAAAACGATTTTGCAAAGTCGCTCAGTGATGTGCGAACTTGGCGCTATATTTCAAATTTCAGTGTGTTTGTTTTGATTATATTATTGAATTAAATTTATTATTATTATATTATTATTTTTATGCTTATTTATTAAATTATAATTTATGATTTCGTGTTTCAAATTGTAACATACCCGGGATGTTTACTAGACTCTTGTTCGGACAGATTTCAGTGAGTTATTCCTAAAAATTACAGGCCTACAATAAAAAAAATACATATTTCCATGCAAAAAAGTTTACCGCATTGAGCACAGAAATATGGAGATAATCAGACCGCTAGGGAGGTTAATTGGTATTGCTGAATCTTGGCTTCATTCTTCACATGACTGGGCCATTAATATTCCTGGCTATGTTCTCTTTCGTAGAGACAGGGTAAATAGGAAAGGTGGTGATATCTGTCTCTATATGAGAAGTGATCTCAGAGCGAGTGTGAAAGAGGACAGTTGATGGAGAGTGTGATGAGGCTGAAGCATTATGGGTGGAACTGCACATGGGGTTGCATAATACAAAGGTAATCATTGGAGTTTGTTATAGGTCTCCCAGTTTTAATGAAGAGGTGGAGACTCAGCTCCTTGCACAAACTGAAAGGGCTGCAAAGGCTGGGACAGTGATAATAATGGGGGATTTTAACTACCCGGAAATTGACTGGAGTAATGGTACTGCAGGAACAGTTAAAGGGTAAACATTTTTAAACCTACTACAGCACAATTTTATGGTAAAGTTCATAGAGGCCCCAACTAGGAATAATGCTCTGCTGGACCTGGTGATCTCAAACCATGCAGAGTTTATTACAAATGTCCATATAAAAGAACATCTGGGTAGCAGTGACCATAACATGATTTCATTTATTGTTAGCTGTAAACAGCAAGCACATACAGGAGAAATAAAAACGCTCAATTTTAAGAGAGCTAATTTTCCAGGGCTGAGAGCTGCTCTCCAAGCAGACTGGGGGGGGAATATTGGCATCAATGAACACAACACAGAAATGGGAATTTTTCAAAAAGACTATTTGTGAATATACTGCAAAATATATTCCCATGGGCAACAAGTTTAAAAGGCTAACAATCAAACCTATGTGGCTTACAGCCAAGCTATAGATAATAAGAAGAGAGCTTTTAATAAATATAAAAATGAAGGAATGCTAGCATCGTTTAAACATTACAAAGAATATAACAGAATATGCAAAAAGGAAATAAAGGCCGCAAAAATTGAAAATGAATGACAGATTGAAAAAGATAACAGGACCAACCCCCAAAAATGTTAAAATATATTAATAGTAAAAAGAATCAGTCCGAGCATGTAGGCCCTTTACAAAATAATCTAGAGTGGGTGACTGGGGACAAAGAGAAGGCAAATGTATTAAATACCTTCAGCTCTGTGTATACAAAGGAGCATGGGGGAGCTCTTGTCCATAATGGGCATGGTATTGACACAGCTCCAGATGATCCACATTGGCTCACAATTGATATGATCCAAAAATATTTAGACAGAATAAAGGTGAATAAAGCACCAGGACTGGATGGCATACCCCCATGGGTCTTTAAAGAATTGAGCTCTGTCATTTCAAAGCCATTGTTTCTAATTTTTAGGGACTCTTTAATGACTGGCATAGTACCATTGTATTGGCATAAGGCCAATGTGGTGCCAATATTTAAAAAGGGGTCAAAATCTTTACCAAGTAATTATAGACCTGTTAGTTTAACTGCTATAGTCAGGAAGATACTGGAGAGTTTAATAAAAGACCACATAGATGAGTTGTTGCTGGAAAAAAAATATTTTAAGCAACAGACATCACGGATTTATGAAAGACAGAACAGAAGTTATTAAACAAATCTGATTTCTTTTTATGAGGACGTGAGCAAAACTTGGACAGAGGGGTGGCGGTGGACGTGGTATGCTTAAATTTTGCAAAAGCATTTGACACAGTTCCCCCACACACAGTTAATGTGTAAGGTAAAGTCTACAGGCTTGGAAAAATCTGTATGTAAATGGATAGAAAACTGACTAAAAGATCGTATTCAGAGAGTAGTGGTTAATGATTCATACTCTAAATGGTCTGAATGGACTCTGAATGGGTTGTCAGTGGTGTACCCCAAGGTTCAGTGTCGGGACCCTTACTTTTTAATGTATTTATAAACGATATAGGGTCTGAGATTAAAAATACAATTTCAGTCTTTGCAGATGACACCAAGCTGTGCAGTGGAATAACGTCCTTACAGGATGTCTCCAATTTACAAGCTGACCTTGATGCACTCTTTAAGTGGGCAACTATGTGGCAAATGAGGCTTAATGTTGATAAATGTAAGGTGATGCACTTGGGGGCTAAGAATATGCATGCATCATACATACTAGGGGGGGTACAACTGGGGGAATCAATGGTCGAGAAAGTTCTGGTAGATCACAAGCTTAACCCCTTCACGCCTAAGGGTAAAACAAATCTTAATGCCCAAGCACAATTTTGCAACGTTAACATGTGTTAGTAAAACCATACATATCATCACAATTACTTTGTACATCCAGGTGAATTATACCTTTTTTTTTCAGGACAAATTGGGCTTTCGATTGGTGATAAATGGTAATGGATATCTCCTGATTTTTGTTTTTTTATTATCAACGGAAAACTGGCCCAAAATACTAAAAAAAAACCCATTTTTTTAAATGTAACTGTGTGTTTCTTGTTACTACCATAACCTACCGCCAAAGAACAACCCACAATAAACT